ACTGGAATATGATCCTCTCATTCAATTCTGCCTTCACCAGCTTTCTGTTTTTGATAATTTCCTTCACTGCCTAAGCTTGGCTGTTCTGGAATTTGCTCTATAGAACCAGACTGGCTTCAAACTCAGAGATCTGCCAGCCTCTGCCTTCCAAGTGTTGGGACTAAAGGTGTGCATTACTACACCCTGCTCTAAGCTTTTCTTTAATTCCTTTTCACAAGTTGAGAATTTATCTGGGTATCATCTTGCCCTGAGGTTACCAATCCCTTTATTCCATTTCTTAATCTGAGGCAGACAGAGCACTCATATACAGAAAATAGCTAAATAAATCTTAGAAAGAAAAAGAGAAAGCAAAAGAAAAGTTTAGAGCCAAGTGTGGTGATACATGCCTTTAATACCAGCACTCTGGGAGCAGAGGCTGGAGGATCTCTTTAGTTTGAGGCCAGCCTGGTCTGTAGAGCAAGTTGCAGAACAGCCAAACTTAGGCAGTTAAGGAAACCATAGAAAACAGAAAGCTGGTAAAGATGTAATTGAACAAGGGGGCCATGTTCCAGCCCCAGTAAACAACAAACCTTGGCAGTTTCAGCCACGTGGTTCTGGCTTTAGAGTAAAGGATAGAAGAAATAGGTTATATAATCTTCCTCTGTGACTAAGGAAAGCTAGAGGCCAGGCATGTGTCAGTGGTGTCCCTGAATGGAGGCCTAGAGAGGTGATTGCATGAACTTTGTGAAGGTGAAGCTTAGATTGCCTTGGGGACCCCAAGATGTTGGAGATGCCAGAGTGGGATACAAGCTGAGAAAAGTTGCTAACAGGGAGTGGAACCAGCCCAAGAGAGAGAAGTGTGTTGCAGTCAACAAAACTGAATGGAGTTGGAGATCGGAAAAGTGTTTTGACATCAGAAATGGAGATGCAGAGTTTGGAGTTTGCCCAGTTGGTTTTGGTCTTGCTTTGATCCAGATTTTCTCTCTGTGCTCTCTTCTTTATGTTTGCAAGGGTAATATATATCCTGTGCCATTATATGTTGGAAGTATGTGATCTGCTTTTTGATTTTGATTTTACAAGGGACTGCAGTTAAGAAATTGCATGAATCTCAGAAGAGGCTTTGAACTTTAGACTTTTAAATAAGTATGAGACTGTTAGAGACTATAGGGACTTTTGAAGTTGGACTGAATGCATTTTTGCATTATGATATGGCTTCAAGCCTTTGGGGGCCAAGGAGTGGAATGTGGTGGTTTGAAAGAAAATGGCCCCAAAAGGAGTGGCACTTTTAGGAGGTGTGGCCTTGTTGGAATAGGTGTGATCTTGTCAGAGGAAGTGTGTCAGTGTGGAGTTGGGCTTTGAGGTCTCATATATGCTCAAGATACCAACCAATGTCTGAGACCACAGACATTGCCTGTTGCCTGTGAGTCAAGATGTACGACTTTCAGCTCTTTCTCCATGTATGCCTGCACATCACCATGTCCTGCCATGATGATAATGGACTAAACCCCTGAAAATGTAAGCCACACCATTAAATGCTTTCTTTTATAAGAGTTGTCATGGTCATGGTGTCTCTTCATAGCAATAGAAACCCTAACTAAGACAGGATATTTATAAAGTTTATCATTGATCACTTTAACTTTAGAATTTAACCATTTCAAACTAAAACATCATGCTATTAGCAACTCTCCCAGTGCATAAAAACAACAGAGTCTAATTTTTATGTCCATGTTGGCACTGTTTTGCAAAATGTATCTAAATGGCATCATTTGGTTGCTTGTGGGTCCTGCATATGATACTGCATTAAGTAATTTCTTTGTACTTCTTTAGGCCTTTTCTTTTTCCAAACTTCTGTGTTACCCACATAATCTAATTGTCTAGTCAGCTGGGGATTTGTAGAAACAGTGTTGATCCACGTGTAGCTTTCTCATTTCCAGAGTATCTCTTGACATTTCTGGTTGGTCCTCTGCAGGCCTCATCTTGACCTGCAGTCTCAGTCTGGAGAAGCCAGTTTTCCATTGGTTGTTTTGTCCAGTCCACTATTTGGTTCTTCTAGCCCAAAGTTACAGCTTTACTAGCTTGAACCAGATAAAAATACACCTCTTTATTGAACAAGGAATAGGAAAGACTGAGGCAGATCTCAGCCATAGCTTCTTAAACTCAATGGGAGGATCATGAAACTTGTCAACAGTAAAAGATTTGTGAATGTGAAACAGCTAAAAATTCAAAATCAATAGCAAATTTGGAGTGTTTCTTGCATCACGTGCCTACATTGTGTTGTGCAGCTTCCCTGAAGCCCTACTTGTGCCTGCATGCCATCTATAATGGTCTGATAGAATTAATCAATGTAGATATATCAATGAAAGCACAAAGATAAGTTGTCCACACATACTTGGTAGTTCTAGTGCAGGCACTTGCCTCCTCAGAAATACTTAAGATACAGATAAACTAGATATTGTGGTGCATGCCCATAATCTGAGCTACTTGAAAGGTTGAGGCAGATGGACTATGAGCTCATGGTCAACCTGAGTACTAAAAAAAATGGGACATGTGGACAATTGGATGTCGTTTGTTTTATTTTGTTTTTTAGGTGGTATCTTGCAATGTTACCCAAGCTAACCTTGAGTTCAAGCAATCCTCCTGCCCCAGCTTCCTGATTATCCATGAATACAGACTAATTTTGCTTGTAAGTAACACATTAAAACCATAAGTTCAAGAGGAATATATCAGTAAATTTAGAATTCCATCCAGAAAAACATTCATTATTGTAGCTGGAGAGTTTCTCTCTAGCTCCTGCCAAGCCCCGGCAGTCCCACAGCCCACTTATAAAATAAACACACAGACTCTTATATTATTTAAACTGTTTGGCCTAATGGCTCATGTTTCTAGCTATCTAGTTCTTACATCCTTTTTTTTTTTTTTTTTTTTTTGGTTTTTCGAGACAGGGTTTCTCTGCGTAGCTTTGCGCCTTTCCTAGAGCTCACTTGGTAGCCCAGGCTGGCCTCGAACTCACAGAGATAGTTCTTACATCTTAAATTAACCCATTTCTATAAATCTATAACTTGCCACATGGCTCACCAGTATCTTACATGTTGGTACTCATGGCAGTGGCTGGCAGCATCTCCTGAATCAGCCTTCCTGTTCTCAGAATTCTTTTCTCTGCTTGTCCCACCTATACTTCCTCCCTGGCTACTGGCCAATCAGCATTTTATTTATACAGAGCGATATCCACAGCACATTATGAAGAAAGTAAAAAGTTAAACAACTGCCAGGTGGTGGTGGTGCATTTAACCTCAGTACTCAGGAGGCAGAAGCAGGCAGATCTCTGAGTTCAAGGATAGCCAGGGCTACAAAGAGAAACCCTGTCTCGAAAAACCAAAAAAAAAAAAACTAAACAAAACAAAAACTAAACAACCAACTGAAAAGGTATTTGAATCACTTTTGACTAGAGAATAAACAGAAAAATGGGTTATAGAATATGAATGGGCATTTTACAGAAGCATAAAAGAATAGTCAAGCTTCTAAAGAAATAGAGATTAGAGTAGTCTAAAGTTCCATTTACTATTAAGTTGGCCAGGTTTAAGATGACAATGCCTGATACAGTGGACATAATGGAGGCATGTGGGGGAAATTCTCTCTTCTTATTTTATGGCTTTCAGTAATCTCTCAGAATATACAGCATGCATGCTATATTTATTTACCCAGCAGTTTGAGCTGTATATAGGGTGAAAGAATTAAAGAGTATCTGTTGTTTCATTTTTTAGTAGAAACAAATTAGGAGCAGCTACAATGTTCATTAATGGAGATCCAGTGCACAGCCTTTAAATGGAGAGCCAGTTGTAGGAAAGAATGAGATGCATTGAAATATGGTGACTGTAGAGGAGGGTTGTGGCATTCCAGGTTAACAGATTGTCTACTCTTTAAAATGACAAATGTGAGCTGGGCAGTGGTAGCGCACGCCTTTAATCCCAGCACTTGGGAGGCAGAGCCAGGCGGATCTCTGAGTTCGAGGCCAGCCTGGTCTCCAAAGCAAGTTCCCGGAAAGGTGCAAAGCTACACAGAGAAACCCTGTCTTGAAAAAAATTAAAAAATAAAAATAAATAAAAAATAAACATTGTGAATTTTTATTTTCTTGAGGCATGGTACTCTACAGTCTTAATGTAGTTATGCAACTGACAAATGCATTTAACAGGAAACATTTATCTGAAGATAAACAACAATAGTGTTCTTCTGTATAGTCATAAATACAATTGAATTTGTGGGTTCTTTGTTCTTTTTTATTTATTTATTTTCTTGAGAACTTCCCACATGTGCACTTTTATCTATGTTACTCCCACACCTCCTTTCCCTCTCAAGCTCTTCCCGTGTTCCCCCTCCTAAATCCATGGTCTCTTAATTATTATTGTTAAGTATTTATACAACCTCCTGAGTTCATTTAATCCTGCTTGTATGTACATGTGTCCCAGGCTGACCATTTGGGATTGGACATCCTATCCACAAGCTACCCCTGGAGAAATCTAATTCTTCTCTTTATCTGGGAGTGGGACCATATGGTATGTCCACTCTCTACACTGGCACATCAGCTTGCGATCTCATTATGCTGGTCTTCTTCAGCAGCCATATTGTTGAGATGTCATGGGTGCATTTTGACTGTAGTAGTTTCACCTCTCTGGTCTATGACCCCTCCAGGTAGGGGCAGCTCTTGCTATTATCCTAGGTCGGCCTGAAACCTACTTTGTAACCTGCAAACTCCCAACCCTGTCTCAGCTGCCTGAGAGCTGAAATTACAGCTATACCAGGGCAGCCAAAAGTTTGAAAAGGGACAGTAACTTAAAGCAGGGGACAACATTTTCCAATATTTGTTCCTCAGAATATGTAAGTTTTAGGTGTTTCTCCTTATGGAAATTATCTTGAAATAAGCATATATATGTTCATATTTTAATGTTTTATATTTTATAAACATTGTATATTCAAACTAACAAGGGTAATTTTTTTTTACATTGTGTAATCAAATGTTATTGCAGGTTTCGTCTTGATATCTATAGATGTCTGGCCAGCCCAGCTCTAATAATGCTAACAGAGGAGGACCCGATCCTGAGAGCCTTTGAACTTAGTGCTGACTTAAAGGAACTCAGCCTCGTGGAGGTGGAATTCAGGTGGGGAAGAAAGGATGTTGTTTGTCTTTTGTTGTAGAGTCTTCTGCTTCAGTCTGTTCATTGGCTGAATGATAATTTGTATTTATTTATATTTAATCTAAGATGACTAATGTCATTGCCACTTGGAATTTTCTTTCTCTGTCAAAGGAACATATCTTGGTGCTGTTTAGTTGACTCCGTCTCTGTCTTTTGCTCTTCAGTAACCACTTAGCCACCCAGTAAACCTTGTGATCATCCTTATGGCAAGTATATCTAGTGCCCTCTTATCAGCTCCCATTTGCAAAATGCCAGACAGGAACTGTACATGAACTCACTTTCTTGTCATGGTTACCTCTGTGGCTCCATCTTGTGTGGCTGTGTTCCATCTTGAAAAGTCAACAAAGCTCATTCACACCTGTGGAGTAGGATCAGAAACAGTTTTCTTTAGCCTTAATTCAAGCATACATAGTGTGTTCTTGAAAGTTCTGAGTCCAGAGACTTATGAAAGACTACATGTAAGTTTTCAGGTTTAGAATTACTATTCTTTAAGTACATTACATCTTAAAAAAAAAAACTCGATATGATATCTATGTACTTTGGTGAACTCATAAAACATTTTAAAAAACTTAATTTTATAGCATATGAAGCTATGAATAAATTCTATTTAAATATGAAAATTTTATTTTAACCTTGCTTTTGTTTCCATATAAAATAGAATTTATCCAATTTATTCCAAAAAAGATTTGAATAATTGCTATGATTGTATTACAATACAATAATATTCTAACAATAACAATCTAACAATAATAAAGTTAGATTCGAATGTTACCCTAGAACTTAGTTATTTCAACCTGGTGTTTAATAAACAGAGAAAGATCTACAAAAGCTAGGTGTTTTTGCTAATGTCAGCAACAGGTTGGCAGCAGAGTTAAAATGTAAAGAAGCAAAGCTGTTAGCTAGGCCTGGTGCTGCATGCCTGCAGTCCACCATTGGTGAGGTGGGAGCAGGAGGATTGCTGCGAGATGGAAGCGAGCCCCTGGGCTACATAACAAACCTTGTCCCCAAAAACCAGGGTAGGGTGTGGTGGCATACTCCTTTAAACCCAGCTCTTGGGAGGCAGAGCTCACTCTAGTGATTCCAGGCAGCCAGGGCTACACAGAGAGACCCTGTCTTTAAAAAATAAAAATAAATAAATAAAGCAAAACAAACAAAATGGGACAAAATCCCCATAAGTTATATTTAGGGGACACGATCTTTCCTCATCACTAACTGTAGCTCTATCTAAACTGTACAGTCACTTAATTATCTTCCCATAACCTATTACAGATTAAACAGTTTAATAAATTGTATGTTTTGCTCTAGCAGTCTGTTAAATGTTTATTTAGAGATGAGATATCTTTGTAATAACACTTTTGATGCATATTCCCATCTGCAGCTATAGTCCTAAACCAAAAGGCATGTAATAAATACTTCATTTGTTAGAGAACTAATTGTTAAACAACTAATTGTTCTCAGGTTATGTAGTAATGCAGACAAGGAAAAAGTGTTTGCCTTTACAGAAAAGTTGTGAGTTTTGAGTTTAGCTAAATACAGCCATTCATGGGAACGTTGACTGTGTACAAAGACTAAGCAGCCTTTCTTCTTTCATAGGACAAAAAGCTGAATAATTTTCTAAAGTCCAGCCTCTTATGCATGACTCATAGTTGTTTGTAATATACTTATTTTTGGTTAGCTGAATTATAAATTTCATGATATTGATATTTAATGAATAACTATGTGCTAAAACTTCATTTCTCACAAACTATGTTAAGTACAGTTTTTATAAGTAAGTCAATGACAGCGGTAAGGTTTGGAAACCAGCACTTCTGAAGAGAGTCCTTAGGAGACGCCACTAGTGTTTTTCTAACTTGACTTTCACGCAAGTGAACACTTTAAATATGAGTCACAATACTTTTTCAGTATTAGAAGTAGCATATGTATATTGTATATTTTTATATGTATAGTATAGAAAATTACTGTAGGTAAAAAATACTGTTTTTATAGTTTATGTGAGTAATGTCAAGGGAAATTTAAGCCATCTTACAGAGAAAGAGAAGTGAGTTGGGTGAAAAACTGACCAATAGGTTTTATAAGTGTTTCTCGGAGTATTAATATATTAAGTATACTGTGTTCATCTGAAATCATCAATATGGGCACAGGAAGCACATTTCTCCATAGCTGTGGGGAATATCTGAAGCTCCTGTGATTGTCAGCAGGAAAAAGGGCAGATCTTATGTAGTCCTGTCAGAATTTAAATATTACTGAGTAAAGTATTTTCTAGTAATGTAATCTCATTGGAAATGGGAATGGCATTCCTAGTAGTGGATTCTGCATTTTGTAGGAATGATTATGAAGAGCTAGCCCGTCAGTGCAAGATGTTTGCTAAAGATCTGCTTGCACAAGCCAGGAATTCTCGTGAACTGGAAGTTATCCTAAACCATACATCTAGCGATGAGCCTCTTGACAAACGGGGACTACTAGAAGAAAGAATGAATTTAAGTCGTCTAAAACTTGCAATCAAATATAACCAAAAGGAGGTATGAAGCTTTCTGTGATGTATTTAAATTATTTTCTTTACCTTAGTTCTCAAATAAAATAAAAAGTTATAACAGTATAGATATACATTCATAACTCAATAATATATACATACAGCTTAAAGGAAAGACCATGCTAGTGTCTGAAAATCAAAGCAGATTCTGTTTGTGGGGTTGTCACTCAGATCTCTGGTGTCTGAATATCAGCCAGGACCATGAATAGCATGGTCACAGTAGGCTGAGTGCTCAGATGGGTGAGTCCACAGAAAGTGAAGCTCCTGAGAACTCAAAACTGGAACCTGGGAGGAGCACACAATCACAGTGGGCAGTGAGGCCATGGGCTAAGAAGCAGCTAAGGGCTGACTGGATTGTCTTCATGTGTCTGTGTTTCTTGGGCTTTTCACAGCTTGGTGGCTTTGTAAAAAGTAGGCCTTTTTACAGGGCAACTCCTAACTCTAAAATTCAGTGAAGGTAAAAGAAGCATGACCTTGAAGGCGGCCTTTCAGAGGTCACATTGTGTCCCTTCTGCTAGAATGTAGTCCCTTCTGCTGGCTATAGCAATCACAAGTTACTGAAATAAAGGACAAATGGGAACAGTGATTTCCTCCTCTGCCCACCACCTCTTGATGACAGGAATATTAGAGAATCTTTGTCTGTGCCTCAAACCACTGTAGACTTAGAACATTTGCACTTGAAATCTTGTTATTCTAGATACTACTTAATAGAATTTCTAATTAAATTATCATTATATTAAAGATATCAAGTATAGTGGTAGGGCTGATATTTGGGAGAAGGTGACACCCCCTAAGTTCTGGCTGCTGCTAAAAAGTGGTTTGGGAAGAAAGACTGTTTCAGTCCCGGGTGTCTCACCGTGAGGGACAAACACTGAAATCCAAACAGAAGAATAAGGAATGCAGTAAGGGCCTGGAGAGATGGCTCCGTGGTTAAGAGCACAGGCTGCCTTTCTAGAGGAGCTAGGTTCATTTCCCAGCATCCATAAGGCTGCTCACAACTGTAACTCCAGTTTCAGGGGGTCCAGTGCTTTTTTCTGGTCTCTGGGCATGAAGCACACAGCTGGTGCACAGACATACATGCAAACCCAGTGCTCATACACTTAAAAAATTAAAGAGTGACAGAAGACCTAGTTGATACAAATGAATATAGTTGTATTAGAAAAATTCTTGACAAGTATGATAAGATGCTGTCCAGTTATTTTTTTATTGCAGACTAAAAATCTGTGAATTAGATTCTAGTCCAGAATGAATCTGTTTTTGCTTTTGTTTTTCAAGACAGGGTTTCTTTGTGAATCCTTGACTGTCCTGGAGCTCATTCTGTAGACCAGGCTGGCCTTGAACTCAAATTTACCGGCTTCTACCTCCTGAGTGCTGGAATTAAAGGCATGTGCCACCAAAATCTTTTTAAAAAATGTAATATTCACAAAATACTATTTTACATTACTTGAATAATATGATTATCTATACTTTGGTAATATAAAATCTGATTACATTATACTAGAAAAATATTGTCATTTAAATTTGTAAGCTAATTGTACAAGTTAACTTCTGTACTTGTACTAGAATTTTGTTTTTATTTGAGATTTTTCTTCTCATATGAAATTCACTATTAACCAATTTTAAGAGTATTGTATTTTGCTGGATGGTAGTGACACATGCCTTTAATCCCAACACTCTGGAGGTGGAGGCAGGAGAATCTCTGTGAGCCAGCGTGGTCTACAGAGAGAGTTCCAGGACAGCCAGAGCTGTTACACAGAGAAACTCTGTCTTGAAAAACCAAAAACAGAAAGAGTATTTTGTTTTTAGGGGGCTGGAGTAGTGGCTCAGTGGTTTAGAATACTATTGCTCTTGCTAAGGACCGTGGTTTACCTATGTGGTGGCTCACAAACACTTGTGATTCATTTACAAGGGATCTAATGCTCTGTTCTTACCTCTGTGGATACCATGCATGTACATGTGTAGATAAGATAAAACACACATACTCAAATAAAGCTTAAAAATAATTTTAAAAGAGTGTTTTAATGTTCAGGCCTGTAATCCCAGCTGCTGAGGCAAGAAGATCACAAGTCCAGTCTGCCTGGTCTGAGGAGTTATCAGCTGTGGTAGAAAGAACATTTGCCTACCATGAGGCCTAACTTCAGGCCTCAGCACTGAAATCAGTATCCCTGAAATAGTTTACGCCCTTCTCAGTGTGTTCATGAAGTGTGTATAGATCTAATACGTGGACCATTTTTTATCATGCCATCTGGGTTTCTTACAACTCAGGAACTAAAGCCGGCACTTTCAAAAAGATTAGTTAGTGCTGTCTTTGGAATGCATATTAACTTGCAACCTTTATTCATATTCTTATGTCTTTGTACTGGCTTATATAGGCTCTTGATAATCTTTAAGTGTGATCAGCTCAGTGCAGTAGGCTGCTAATACTTTTAATACTTAAAATGGCAATGTGCTATATGAATAAGGCGGTATCCTAAGAACTTGGTGCTGAATCTTCACAAGTTTACAAGGAGCTACTATTACTAGCCAGATATTAAAGATGAGGACTAGGAAGCTTAGACAGGTTGGAAACTTATTCATGGTTGTCTTTTCTGTGTCAGAACCTGGATTTGAATCACATAATCAGGCTCCATAGTCTATGCTCTGAACCTCTACACTCTTAGTTGTAAGAGGAAAAAAAAAAACCAAACCTATGTACAGTGTGTAGGATTTTTCACCTAATGTTAAGACTTTGAGTATGAGCCAGTTACTATTTAAAGGTTTTATTTCCCTATTTTGTTTTTTATGTTTCTATATGTCTTTTTCAGTTTGTCTCTCAGTCAAATTGCCAGCAGTTCCTGAACACCGTTTGGTTTGGACAGATGTCAGGTTACCGCCGTAAGCCCACCTGTAAGAAGATAATGACTGTTTTGACAGTTGGCATCTTCTGGCCAGTTTTGTCACTGTGTTATTTGATAGCTCCCAAATCTCAATTTGGCAGGATCATTCACACACCTTTTATGAAATTCATTATTCATGGAGCATCATATTTCACATTCTTGCTGTTACTAAATCTCTACTCACTTGTCTACAATGAAGACAAGAAAAATACAATGGGGCCAGCCCTTGAGAGAATAGACTACCTTCTCATACTGTGGATTATTGGTAAGTGTCAAGTGAGTTTGAAAGATTTGCCTTCGTTATTTAATATTTCTTGCTTGATGACATTATGAACATGGAGTACACTTTGCAGTTTTGTCCTTTGGCACAGCTAAGACACGAACATTTTCACGATCATTTATCTAATACTTTTACAAAGGTTAATCTTCCTGATTTTATAACTTTGTATTAAAATACATGAAAGTAAAAAATTGTGTGTGTGCGTGCACACACATGCTCATTTGTGCTGGTATGTATACATGAGTGGATATGAATGCAGTGTGGGTGTGTTTTGTGACAAAAACTTTCTTGAGGAGATGCAGCACACATGTCTACTTATCCCAGATATGGATCCCATAGCAGACCAAAGTACGGATACCACCGCAGTCCAGTTTGATGAACCAGTGAGTTTTATTGGGGTTGTTTGCAGGGATATGGGTAAGGGGTTATGTAAAGGAGCAGAAATAATTCAAAGAGAGCTATATCACCAAAGGCCACCCCAGCATGAGTTATAGCTCACAAAGCTAGGAACATGGAACACATTGCACAGTTTGCAGGCCACCTAGCTGGTTGGAGAGTGTCCTTTCCAGGTACCTCAGTTGGTCTAAACCTCTTCCAGGCTGGGCTGGTTTCTGCTGCTTCTAGGCAGCTGGTCTGGTCTAAGATTTTTGCCCCTTTACTTGTCTGACAGTCTTCTTTGAAAGCTTGGCCTCCTTTGGTCTGACAGGGACTCTCGGGTTTTATTGTTTACTTTAGAAGGGAAGGGGACTAGTGAATCTGGTTAATTTCAGGGACTTTCTGAAGCTATTCTGAGTTGTTTACCTTCCTGCTTAAGGAGCTTCTCTACTGGATGGAATATTTCAATCTCCTGTTACACAACAGTGTACATGTGTAAATAGAGGCTAGCAATAAACCTTGGGTATTATTCTCAGGAATATCCACCTTATTTCCCACTGAGAGGTGGCCCTTGCTGATTAGACCATGCTAGCTGGCCAGCAGGCCCTAGTGATCCTCCTGTCTCTGCTGTTGGTATTGCAGGTATATGCTACCACACCTGGCTGTGTGTGTGTGTGTGTGTGTGTGTGTGTGTGTGTGTGTGTGTGTGTGTGTGTGTGCGTGCGCGCGTACATGTTTGCATGTACATGTACATGCATGGATGCCAAAAGTCAAAGTTGGGTGGTTGTGTCGTTCAGTTGCTCTCCACCTTGTTTTTTGAGACAAGGTCTCTCACAGAACCTGGATCTCATGAATGTGGATAGCCTGGCTGGCTCTAGGGACCTGCCTGTCTCAACCTGCAGAGCTCTGGGGTTATTGATGTGCACCTGGCTTTTTGTGTCCATGCTGGGGATCGGAATTCACTTCCCCAGTCCTGCGTGGCAAGCACTGTATCAACTGAGCCATCTCCCAGCCCTAAAAATTATTTATTCTTGGATTATGTTGTTAATGATTATTAAACAGCATAATTTTTATGAGTGAATGCTTCTGTATATGGCATAATTTTTCTAGGTATCTTAAAACCTAACAAATTTCAGACTTTCAAATGTCTTACAACCATTTTGTTTCATTGTCCAGGTGGTTTTATTACTAAGAATTTACGAAGTTTTGTAGTTATAACTTAACTTATATTATGGAGATTGGATTTAAAGGGCTCCCATGTGAGTCACTCTGTAGGTCAGTTTTTTCCTTGGAAATCTAAGCTCTGAAGAAATGATAAGTTTAAAATAATAAAATGTTTTTATTTTCTGAAAAACATTTTATGAGTCTTACATTGTGTAATAAATGTATTACATAACACTCTTCAGGGACTAACTGTTCTGGACCTTGTTTTGGTGGAAAGGTATGGGATCGTGCAGAATCCCATTGCTTATTTATGCTCTTTTAGAGAATCCCTTTCCTCTTTTGTGTCTTCAGCTTCAGCATGCCCCAAATATCCATTGACCGTTTATTGTAGAATAAAAGGTTATAAAATATAATCTGTGGTATATTGATTATATTTATCTTTTGATTGCTGTTCTTGTTTGCATTATTAGATAAATGCCTACTTTTTGTTTTCCTTTTGCTGTTAAATGTAATTTTTATATATTGTAATTTTAATATGAAAAAATCAATTATTTTCAAGTGACTTGATTTCAGAGTCAAGTCACATCATGATGTATTAATGTGTAAAGTTAGGTAGGTAGAATAAAAATAGTACACTAGGTTAAAGAGGAATTTCATGTTAATATTTTCCAGTTTCCTGTTTCTTTACTTACCTAGGATTTAATGTTTTAATTTTGAAAATAATTTATATTTCCCATATATTATATGTAGCTTTCCAATATAAATTTTTATATTGTTAAGTTTAAAAGGTTGTAAAAAATATCTAAGAAGAGACTTCTTTATATTTACTTATGCTATTTATGAAAGATCCTTATATATATATATATATATATATATATATATATATATCTTGAATATAAGATACCTTGAATAAACCTGTTGTTTAGTAGAAATTATAATATTCTTGGATTTTGTAAATTAAGATTCAGATTCATCAAGTCTGTAAAAGAATCCATCTGTTTATATATCTTAACAGTAAATAAAATTCTCTAGACCCAGACTTATAACATTTTTAGATAGCATTGATTTTCAGAAATGATGGCTGTTTCCTCTTAAATATGATGAGCCTATTTTCAGTAATGTTATGTGTGTGTTCATATGTATTCCTCTGCTTACATAGTATGATCAGTTTTCTAACCCTTGTCGGCCTCACTAGAAGGATTGATGAGTTAAACTGGTAAATTTCCTGGAAGTTTTTTTTAACCTTGCTCAGCATAGCTTCTACTTTGAAACAGTTAGATCTGAATGCTCCTTGCCAGGCATGTCTCCCTACACCTGTGAAATAACTTGACCACTCTGGGCCTCCTTAAATATAGATCTCTAAACCTCTCTAGGAACTGTTTGCCCGTTTGTCTAAAGTCATTCATTAGTTTAGTTATTTCAAGGAAATACAGTAACTTTTATTCATAATGACCAGATTATTTTCTGCTATTCTCTAAGGCTTCATTTAAAAAATAATGTTAAACCATTTTTTTAAATTTTTGTTTTTTTGAGACAGGTTTCTCTGTGTAGTTTTGGTGTCTGTCCTGGAGCTCGCTCTGTAGACCAGGCTGGCCTCAAACTCACAGAGATCTGCCTGGCTCTGCCTCCTGAGTGCTGGGATTAAAGGCGTGCGCCACCACCGCCGCCACCGCTGCTGCCACCACCACCACCTGGCTTAAACCATTTTTTAAAAGGAACGAGGAAGGAAATAATTTGCTGATGAATATCCAGAATAGTATCATTTTTCTTAATGTTTTTGTTTTTAAACATAGTAGAGCATCTATTGCAAAAACATATATTAAAAAATGTTGTGTATCCCCTTTGTCCAAGCATAGAAAGGAACAGATACAGCCCCTACACTCATTGGCATTGTGGTCTATAAGGCACAGAACAATACCACCAACAATAAATTTAATTTGAGAATCAGTGAACAGTTGCAAACATGTTACTTTACTAAGGAAGGATCATGGTACTAGGGCACCAAGTATATTATGTAGGTGTGTGCCCAAGTCAAGGGGATGGTTAAAAAGATGTTGAGGAAGTAAGAAGTGAACTAAAATGTTGTCATAGGTTTTCTATTGCTGTGATGAAACACCATGACCAAAATACAAATCAGGGTGGAAAGCATTTATTTGGTGTACACTTCCACATCATGGTCTATCATTGAAGGAAGTCAGGACAGAAACTCAAACAGGACAGGAACCTGGAGGCAGGAGCTGATGCAGAGGCCATGGAGCAGAGCTGCTTACTGGCTTGCTCATTGTGACATGCTCAGCCTCCCTTTTTATAGAACTCAGGACCACCAACCCAAGAAAGGCACCACCCACACATTAGGCTGGGCCTTTTCCCATCTATCACTAATGAAGAAAATGCCTTCAAGGCAGACGATTGAGTGATATAGCATGGCACTCAAAAAGTTGTCTGAGCTTGAAATAGAAATATCTTAATATCTGCATACAGGTGGTATGTTACTGGGCATAGACGAGACATTAAAAAATAAAGTGGGAGAGAGGTTCAAACCTTTAAACATCTCAAAATAGTGCAACCTAATGCTTATTAAATATTACTAATTCTAAGAAGCAAAGTATACCCAAAACAAATGGAACACTGATTGTGTAGTGATGGCATTGCTTGTAATAGTTTATAGTTATGTTTCCCATTGCTACTGTAGCTCTGTTTTACACAGTGTACCCTAAAATTTTGAAATTCATCAAGTATATGATCCTTATTTTAGAGGTATGTGTGTGTTAAATGATAGAGGAGAAACTACCTACTTGGCAGTGGTTCTCACTAGTCTTTCACATAGCTGCCTTTTTAAAGACTGATTTGATTTATTTTATGTATATGAGTGTTTTGCCTGCATGTATGTGTTTGTACCACATGTATGCCTGGTGTCCATGGAGGTCAAAAAAAGGGCATTGGATGCCCTGGAGCTGAACTCATGAATGGTTGTGGAGCCACCATGCAAGTGCTGGGAACCAAACCTGGGTCCTCTGTAAGAGCAGCATGTGCTCTTGATTCGTAAGCCATCTCTCCAGCCCCATGTCTACCTGTTTTGATAAAAGGCCTTCTCCAAATAATGGAGTAGAGTCGTATTTAGATAGAATCCTGCATTGTACAAAAGTAAAGCATTTTCTTGGATCAGCATCTAAAGTGTTATTTGGCAATGTTTTATAAGTAAGATTTGCACATTATTGTACACCGTGATTTAGGATGAGATAATGACTTGATTTCTTAGAGAAGGTATGACTGTGGATTTTATAGTTTGTCACCTCTATTCCTGGGGTAAGGTGAAGATGTGTTCCCAGATAGTTTTCATCTCTATTCCTCTTAGGTAAGTAAGAAAATATTTAAATTGGTAAAATACAACCTGCAAGACTTCTTCATTTAACATTTTAGATGATTTTTATCACTCATTTGGACAAAAAGTTACCAAGTAGAATATTCATGTTCTTTTTTTCTGTCAGTTCTATATATGTTTTAGTTTGTTTCTACATAAACTATAGTACTACATAGTAAAGGTGTTATTCCAAGGTTTTATGTTTTCACATGAAATTATTCTGCCTGCTGGTTAGCCAGAATTACTTTATTTCCATTCATGTGTTATGTTGTAGCTTTGTTCTTCTGTTAGTTCATAGTCTCTTTAAAATGCCTTACTGATTAGTCAGGCATGGTGGCACACACCTTCAATACCAGCCCTTGGGAGACAGAAGCAGGCAGTACTTTGTGAGTTTGAGGCTAGCCTGGTCTACCCATCTAAGTCACTTTTCTAAGGAACATTATTATTTGAATACTAATTTTTGGAGAAGATCTATTGTCTTATTTATGTTTGTGTTTTTGCAATGGTACATAGACATCTAGAGTTTGGCCAGCGGTAGTGTTTCTTGATAGGGAAATCATGTCTTCCATTTTGAGTGGGTGTTTGGATCTGTTTTCTGTTACCTGCACTTGTCAGGTTGTAGACCAGCTGAATGCAGCTTAAGCTTCAGTCTTTGGGCAGTTGACTGTGATGATAGAATAAGGTGTTAGAAGTAGTCATGGCTCAGTGTAAGCTAAGTGAAGTTTCTAAGCCCAGGAGCAGACCTTCTGTAGTGTTAGAAGATTCTCATAACCAACATTTGGAAATCTATGGGAAGTGCTCAGAAACTGTCCTCAGGCAGCTGGGACCTGTGGAGTTGGTGATTGAGTCCAGCATCCTCATTGCAGACAGGCAGCCCTTAGCTGTAAGGATGGGTGGTGTTGGTGTCACAAGTCTGGGCTCCCCACCTGAGGAGGAGGGGCCAGAGAGGGGGCTAGAAGGCTGGTGTGGGACACATGGTCTTCAGGCAGGTCATAGGGTTGAGTAGAGTTGTCAGTGTGAGTCTAGGGTCCCTGCCATAGTATTCAGAGTGGAGATGAGTGGAGTTGGTGGCTGAATCTGGGATCCCTACCTGAAAGGGATGTGGAAGGGCAGGATTTGGTTTTGTTATGAATGTAAAACATAACAAAAAGTTTAAAAGAAACAGGAGTTGGGATTGACTCAAGTTTTGAACTGATTAACATTGAACACTAGAGAGATGGAATGCTAGTAAGTGAAATGAGAAAACCTGTAAGTGTGGTTTACTTGAGATAAGCTCAGTTTGGACACCTCTTCAATTAGAGGTGCAGATCAGAAAAGTGCCTAAATAAATTGAGTTTAGGAAAGAGGTTTGGAAATAGAAATCGTTATGTAAATATAAATTGAATTTAAATGTGTAGATGTAACCGTCTCGTTAAATAAGAAGCACAGAGCCAAATACAGAGTTAAAAGCCAAGAGGTCAGAGCAATAGCTAAGAGCTGAGATTAAAACCTTACCCTTCACTGCCGCTGCTGTCCTATCCGCAAGAGACCTACTTCCTGTGTATCTGTCTTTTTATTGACTTTTTGTTCTGCCTTCTCATTGGTTGTAAACCCAACCACATGACCTCCTTGTCACTGCCCATCTATACAGACCTCCAGGTCTTCTATGGTTGGTATTGAGATTAAAGGCGTGTGTCTCCATGCTGGTTGTATCCTTGAACACATAGAGATCTGCCTGTCATGTGATTGGGATTAAGGGCGTGTGCTACCATCACCCGGCTTCTGCTATGGCTTGCTATTAGCTCTGACCCCCAGGCAACTTTATTTATTAACATACAAATAAAATCACATTTCAGTACAAATAAACTATCACCATATAAATGTATGTGTTTAAGGAGCTGGGAGACAGCTCAGTCAGTAGAATGCCTGTTGTGCAAGCTTGAGGACCTGAGTTCAGGATCCCAACACCACATAAAAGCCATGTACTACAGCATGCGACTGTAACTGTGAAGACCGAGACAGGTGGATCCTTGGAACTTGTTGGCCAGCCAACAATGAACAGTGAGTTCATTGAGACCTGTCTCAAAAGGTAAGGTAGAGAGGGAACGAGGAAATCAACTGACATTGGCCCCTGGCTTCTCTACATATGTGCACACATGCATACACCCACTGATCACACCAAAATTATAGAAATTTGAGACTTTGTTACATAGATGTCATTTAAAGCCACTGGACTGGATAAGATCATTAATATATTATGTGTAATAGTGAAAAGTGTCAAGAACAAAACCGTGTGTGTGTGTGTGTGTGTGCGCGCGCGCGCGCGCGCGCGCGCGTGCGTGCATGTGTGCATTTATCTTGTCCTCTTAGTTTGTTTCACATCACTTAACATTCCTTTTTGGGCAATATGAAACTTAAGGTTGGTTTTTTTTCAAGTCACATGAAACATGAGTTTGTTTGTTTTTTTTTTCTTTCAAATTTTAAAAGCTTTTCACTAAAAGGCTGTTGTTCCCTACCCCACCCAACTCCCACTGCTTTTGGAATACAGCTATAGTTAACCCAAGCACTATAAACACTTTGTCTCTTAAAGTATTATTTAGCTTATTGAATTAATAAATCTGATTTTTTTTATTGTTTTAGGGATGATTTGGTCAGACATTAAAAGACTCTGGTATGAAGGGTTAGAAGACTTTTTAGAAGAATCTCGTAACCAGCTCAGCTTTGTCATGAATTCCCTCTACTTGGCAACCTTTGCCCTCAAAGTGGTGGCTCACAACAAGGTGACTGTTCACTGTCAATCAAAGATGCAGACATTTGTTTAAAAGACTAATATGCTTTGCTATGTAACTAAGAGTTAATATAGACCCAAATATGTGTCTGGTGTGTTTTCATTTTAAAATAATCTGCGTGAATCCAGTTGCTTACGTTTTTAGTAGTTTGAATGGTTTACCTTTTCAGTGATGGTTACCTGCCATACGTTGGGTCTCATGGTCGATGTTAGATATACTGTGTCTAATTGCATTCTCACAGGAATTCTTTAAGACAGAGTCCTTATCCTCATTTTGCAAATAAGAAAATGACTCAGAGATATTAAGCAATATATCTAAGAATATAATGTTTAAAAAAAGATGATTTAAATCCAGGTCCTAGACATTTTCTTTCTACCAAGTGTCTTATTTCTTCACTTAGCTCATTTACCATACATACTTAAAACCTCTTCTAACTTTACTTTCATCAACATTTATGCCTTCTCAAAGCCACAGAATGTAGTAGACTCTGTCTTAGCTATGGGGTATCACATTTAAGGGACTAAGATATATAATATTTCATGGGGTTTTTTGGCTATTTATATATAGATTGTAGAGCAAAGTGATTCTATTGGCTTACTTTATTTAACATCTGTTTCTTTAATTGATCGATAGTGTGCAACATGTTGGTCAGAGAGAGAGCTAATGACTGGAGTGAGAAGTCACTCAAAAGTAAAAATTGGTCATATGTAAATGAATGGCTGATAGTTGTGGAGCATTGATTTTTCAGACTAATTTCTTTAGATTTTTAAAAAGTAGTTTTCTAATCCAAACAGGACACTTTGAGAGTGGAAGGATTGTGGCTAACAGTCCCACAGAACAGCTGTTATATGTCTCTGCAGTGGGACAGTAGATGTCCCATGTCTAGGTACAATAATGCATTTCTTTACTTGAAAGGGGGGCAACTTTTGTGGTTTGCTGTAAATTCCTAGGTCAAAGGACTAGGTTTAGTATGACCTAGTATGACATCTAATTAACTGACAACCTACATTCTCACAATTTTTGTTATAGAATTTAAGGAAACTAGCCAATATTTCCTCATAAGAAGTTCAATGGTGCCGGGCGGTGGTGGCGCACGCCTTTAATCCCAGCACTCGGGAGGCAGAGCCAGGCGGATCTCTGTGAGTTCGAGGCCAGCCTGGGCTACCAAGTGAGTCCCAGGAGAGGCGCAAAGCTACACAGAGAAACCCTGTCTCGAAAAACCAAAAAAAAAAAAAAAAAAAAAAAAAAAGAAGTTCAATGGTAATTTTTTTGTTTATTTTGCTTTTTTTTTAGAGATACATTTATTTTGTGTCTGAGTTCTCTATCTGCATATACACCTTTACGCCAGAAGAGGGCATCAGACCTCACTGTAGATGGTTGTGAGCCACCATGTGGTTGCTGGGTTTTGAACTCAGGACCACTGGAAGAGCAGCCAGTGCTCTTAATTGCTGAGGCATCTGTCCAGTCCCTAATGATAAGTTTTATAACTTGTTTAATTTTTTTTAACCAGAAAATTTCTGGTAAATTTCTGCATATAAAGTGGTATTTCCTAGAATACATGGAAAGCTTCTGTTTGGCTAAAACATTATTTAGATCTCCCACAAGAAGACAAGATAGTTTTCTTTGAGACATTTCATGATATTTCTCTTCATTTTTCTGATTGACTTTGGCTTCTCTTCCCACCTCCAGTTTCATGACTTTGCTGACCGGAAGGACTGGGATGCATTCCACCCCACACTTGTAGCAGAAGGGCTTTTTGCATTTGCTAACGTTCTGAGTTACCTTCGGCTCTTTTTTATGTATACAACCAGCTCGATTTTGGGTCCACTGCAGGTAAATACAGGTCTTAAGGAACGTTTGTTACATGTCACGACTATTGCATCTGCTTATCCCCTTTAACACTGTTCTCATGGTGTTAAAACTACACTTGGCATTTGAAAATAATTATCAAGCACTTTGCTTCTGGCTCATTGATAATTTTCTTTCAAGAATTGTAACTTTATCAAGCTGTGGTCCATTGGCCTCCTCCTTGCATTCTCTGGCCATAGAGAATTGTTATGCGGCCAGGCAGTGGTGGCGCACGCCTTTAATCACAGCACACAGGAGGCAGAGCCAGGTAGATCTCTGTGAGTTCAAGGCCAGCCTGGTCTACAGAGCGAGCTCCAGGACAGGCACCAAAACTACACAGAGAAACCCTGTCTCGAAAAATGAAAAAACAAAACAAAATAATTGTTGTGCTTTATAGAAAGGAGTAACAAAAAAAATCTGATTTTTATCAAAATAAAGTTTATATTTAAACTTTGAAAGATAGATACCACTCCCAGTGATAGACCTCCAACAAGGACACTCCTTCCACTCCATGGTGGCTAAGCATCCAAATATATGAGCCTATGGGGGCTATTTTTATTCAAATCACCACATATACGCATGTGCCCATGGCATGTAAATCGTACAGACCACGCTCAAGTTGTCAGAATGGGCAGCAAGCGCCTTTATCTGCTGAGCCATCTCACTGGTCCTGATTTTGGTAAAGATTTTTGTATGTATATTGCAAGGATGTTTAAGCCTATAGCACTCTTTTCTTATAGTCTCTGTCTGCTGTTGGCTGTATTTAATAAAAATAATATCTACATGATTTTAACACATAGAGATGTACATGTGAAATGAATGACAATAAGAACATAAAGACCCGGCTGGAAGAAATGGAAATACACAGTTGTATGGCTTTCACCTGTATACAAAGTAGTATGCTATCACTTGAAATTAGTCTGTGATAAGATAGGTATCATAAACCCTAAGGCAGTCTATGAAATAAAGCAGTTATAGTTAATAAACCAACAAAGGACATAAAATGGCATTTTAAATTATCAAAAATAAGACAGTAAAAGAGGGAAAAGGAAGAGATCCCAGATGGATTAAAGAGGAAGAAATAGCATCATATATGGAAATAGTTCAGATACCACCACAATCCTCCACAAACACACAGGTCTGTCACAACTGTACCCCATGACCTGGTGCCAACTTCTGGCTTAGGGTTTTTTGTTTTTCCTCTGATAAGACACCATGACCTAAAGGAACTTGGGAAAGGGCTTATTTAAGCTTAAAGTCCTACATCAACGTTCATCATTGCAGGAAGTCAAGGCAGAGACTTTGAAGTGGAAACTGAAACAGAAGCCATTGAGGAATGCTGGTTCCTGGCTTGCTCCTCATGGCTTGCTCAGCCTTGATGTTTTTCTGTCAGCTTGGTGGCTGCACACGAATCTACTGATATTTTAATTATTGTCTGCTGCCCCATGGCCCCTCAGTCACAGCCCCACCAGCCACTTAAACCAAGGCCTGGTGGGGCTATGATAGGTGGGTTTAAATTAAGTCTCTATTGTTCTATTTGTCAATAAGACTCAGAAGTCAAAGGCTGGGGTGAAAACCTGCCAGCTCACAGAGGCTGAGTAGCAACTAACTGACCTTGCTTTTTGGTAAGAGACACAACTTTTCCTTTGTCCCAGAACTCTCTAGCTCCATCTCTAGTCCCTGCCCTTTCATTCCTATGTGCCTTCTCTATCCAAATTGCTGGCTTCTCTAGGGCCAATTCCAGTCAGCTAGTCACTGACTCTGCCCCCTGATTCAAGGTATAACTTTATTGGGCAGTCTCAGGAGTGTCAGAGTGCGATCAAAATATCCCACAACACAGCCTGCTGTCTTATAGCACCCAGGACCACCAGCCCAAGCGTGGTACCTCCCACATTGAGCTGGACCTTTCTACATCAATCCTGAATTAATAAAATGCCCCACAGGCCAATTTGATGGGAGCATTTCCTCAATTGAGTTTCCTTCTTCCCAAATGACTCTATCTTGTGTCAACTTGACATAAAACTAGCCCAGTACAACGCTGAACATGTAATTTTTATTCTAAGGTTTTATAGTTTCAAGCCTTATTTTTAATTATCTTTTCTACTTTGAGTTGATTGTGTGTGTGTGTGTGTGTGTGTGTGTGTGTGTGTGTGTGTGTGTGTGGTGTAAGATTTGTATGCTGTAAGATAAATGTTCGATTTTACTGTTTTCCATGTGGATAATATGGTCATTTTTTCCCCAACCATCATTTGTTGAAGAGACTGCTGTTCCTCATTGTGTTTTCCTGGTACTGTTGTTGAAGAGAAGTTGTTTACTTATTTTTACATTTATTTCCAAGGTCTTTATTTTGTCCCATTGGTCTATACATCAGTCTTTACTATAGTTCGATACCATTTAAATTACTGTTGTTTTATAATATATGTTGAAATTGGGGAGTGTGTTATCTTTAGCTTTGTTCTCAAGATTGTCTTTTTTGAGGTCATGCAAATTTTATAATTTCTGTGTGTGTGTGTGTGTGTGTGTGTGTATAAGCATATTATTGGGGTTTTGATTTTGTCTCAACTCTGTAAATATTTTGGTAATGTGGAAATTTTAAGAGTTAACTTCCAATCGTGAACATCTGCCTGTGTCTCCTTCTGTCTCTCTGTCAGTGTTCTAGAGTTTTCAGTGTATAGGTCTTCTACTTCAGGGTTAGGTCCATCCTGCCTCATTCTTTCTCATGTTGTTATAGAGGATTTGCTCTCATTATATTTGACCCTTTTCAGATGGTTGTGTAACTTGTATATAGAAATTCAACTGTCGCCTGTTCATCTTGCTTGATGGAATGTTACCAGATTAATTTCTGGTTCTCAGTTCTGACAGTCATGGGGTGTTTGTCACTCTCTCTCCACAGAGGATCATGTCATATTCAAAGGGCTCAGTTTCACCTTTTCCAGTGTGGATACTTTCCCCTCCTTGTTTAATTGTTTTGAGTGCAATTTTCAGTACTGTATAGACAGATATGTAAGGAGAAGTCCTTGACTGATCCTGATGTCAATAAAAATGTGGGTTTTTCACTACTGATTATGTTAGCTATAGGCTGTCATATATGGCACGTATTGTGTTCAGGTAATTTCCTTCTGTTTTTGTTGAAAATGGATTTTTTTTTTTTGGTCTTAAAAAGGGAATTGAAATTCATTGTATGCTTTTTCTGGGTTTATTGATCCAATTATGTAACTGTTATCTTCTTTCATTAATTTGATGATATAGCCACTAAATTATTTTTTTCTTGTATCCCAAAGATAAATCTTAATTGTGAAGTGAATGTGCTTTTTTCATGCACTATTGAGTTTGGTTTGATAGTGTTTGTGTAAAGACTTTTTTCTTTTACAATTTTTATTACATTTATTTATTTAATATTTTGGTGTGTGCATACTGTCTTAGTCAGTGTTCTATTGTTGTAAAGCGACACCATGGCCAAGGCGACACTTACAAAAGAAAACATTTAATTGAGGGCTCACTCACAGTTTCAGAGGGTTAGTCCATTACCATCATGGTGGGGGACATGGTAGCACACAGGCAGACATGGCCCTGGAGCTTTACATCTTGATCCACAGGGAGCAGAGACAGGGAGGGGCAGGAGGGCAAGGGCTGTGGGGAGGTGGAGAGGGAGACAGAGGAGACACAGAGAGAGACAGAGACTGGGCCTGACCTGGGTTTTTGAAGGCTCAAAGCCCACTCCAGTGATAGACCTCCAACAGGGACACACCTTCTGCTCCTTTCAAGCAGTTCACTCCATGGTGGCTAAGCATCCAAATATATGAGCCTATGGGGGCTATTTTTATTCAAATCACCACATATACGCATGTGCCCATGGCATGTAAATCGTACAGACCACGCTCAAGTTGTCAGAATGGGCAGCAAGCGCCTTTATCTGCTGAGCCATCTCACTGGTCCTGATTTTGGTAAAGATTTTTGTATGTATATTGCAGGGATGTTTAAGCCTATAGCACTCTTTTCTTATAGTCTCTGTCTGCTGTTGGCATCAGGGTGATATAAATAATATTTTTATCATCGGCCTCATAAAATGAGTTGAAAATGTTTTCCAAATACTTCAAGACGGATTTGTATTAAGTTTTAAAAAAACATTTCATAGAGTTTTTCACTGAAGTCATCTGTTCCTTGTTAAGAGATTTTTATTATTGATTCAATTTTTGTATAACATAGAGATCTGTCCAGACTTTATATATCTTCATGACTTATTCTTGCTAGGTTGTATAGTTCTAGGAGTCTGTTCGTCTACTTGGACTACCTACCCAATTTGTTGTTCATAGTAGTATCCGCTGATCTCCCACCTCACTCTCTCTCTGTTCTCTCTCTCTCTCTCTCTCTCTCTCTCTCTCTCTCTCTCTCTCTCTCTCTCTCTCTCTCTCTGTGTGTGTGTGTTGTGTCTCTTACTCTTTGTCTCTGTCTCTTTCTTGCCTATCTCCTTCCTTTTTTCAGTTTAAAATTGAGTGTGTGTGTGTGTGTGTGTGTGTGTGTGTGTGTGTGTGTGTGTGTTCATTTGCGTGTGTACATATGTATGGAGGCCTGAGGTTGATTCCGGTGTCCCCCTTGATTGCTCCCCACCTTACCTTGTAAAACAGGGTTTCTCAGTGAAGTTGGCACTCATTGGTTGCCTGTGTTGTGTGGCCGCTGAGCTCTGGGATCTGTCCATCTCCTTTTCCTTCCTTGTAAATGACTACGCCCGGCATTTCCACACGGGCCCTGGGATCCCACTCAGATCCTCGTGCCTGAGTAGGAGGCCCCTTACTGATGACCCATGTCCCCAGCCCTCTTCTCTCTCAGGGGTTTCTACTGTTCCCCAGACTTGGGAGTCCCTGGGCTCTTCTGATCCTATTTCCTCGGCCTCTAGTGCTGGACAGCAGATGTGCTCACCACAGGCTTCGTTTCTAGGCTTCTCGCAGCCAAGACTGGTTTTCCTTGGTCTGCACTAGTATTAACTCCTTTGTAAACTTCGGTATTGACGGTTTAGTTCTCTTTTTCATTTCTTTACACTTGATGGATGTGATATTATCCTATTTACAAATGCATAATGCTTATGCTCTTTCCATCCACAAGAAGTTTGTTTTTGCTGCTTACCTGTCACATGCATATTTAGTATTCCAGCCAGTGCCCTCTACTGTGATATCCACTGTGCTATTTTTAGTTCTGTATTATGCAAGAACTGATGTCAGTTTCTGGTGTTCTCCTTCTGTATTAACTCACCTTGATATTCAAATTGGTTACATTTTTTTAGTTTAGTTGTATTAAATTTTTTTTGAAAATTAAGATTATATCACTATAAGTGGGTACTTTCAAAAATTCTATTTATAGATGAGTGAATAGTGCCAGAACTTTCTTCAAAGATCATTTTTCCTAAAGTAGTCAAAAGCACTTGCTTTATTACTGCCTTAACAATTCCCTGCTGACTTAGGTATGGATATATTCTGAATATTCATAGCCTGAATGAATGGCTTTGTTTTCCTAAGTGACCCACTAAAGATACCACTAGTACATTAAAAGGAAAAATACATCTCTTCTCTTTCTCACATATTTTGAGGCCAGCTTGGTCTATCTATAGAGCAGGTTCTGGGATAGCTAGGGCTACATATAGAAACTCTGTCTCAAAAAACAAACATACATACAAACAAACAAAAAACCCACAAGTGTTCCAATTTAAAAAAAATCAAGATTTATTAAAACTATGTAATCTGGGCTGGGCAGTGGTGGCACACGCCTTTAATCCCAGCACTTGGGAGACAGAGGCAGGTGGATCTCTGTGAATTCGAGGCCAGCCTGGGCTACAGAGTGAGTTCCAGGAAAGGTGCCAAAGCTATACAGAGAAACCCTGTCTCAAAAAAACAAAACAAACAAACAAACAAACAAAAAACTCAAAACAAAAGACCCAACAAAACAAAACAAAAAAACAACTATGTAATCTTCAGACATTGGAGGAGTATGAAAGAAAATAAAATTAGGCTTGAATAAAACTTCTCATTGCCCCATGCTAATGTATAAAGATAGTCATTATTAACTCTTGCTACTAGAGTGGCTTGCACACATAATACTGTCTTACAAAAGTGAGGGAAGGATGTTCACTCTTGGGAAGAAATTAGGATAGTCCAAGATGCTGATACTGTTCTTCAGGAGTTAGTTGAGAATTAGTTACAAAATCAGATAAAATGTTTCATTTTGAAATGATTTAATATTTGTAAACTTTAAGAAGCCACATGAATATAAGCATTTATTTTCCCTTAGGTTTTTCAGAGAATTCTTTCTTTTACCCCTGCCAACTGGCCTTTAAACAGTCTCCATATTGTCAGCAATAGTGATACTTGCATGATCCTAGCGTGTGGGAAGCTGAGGAAGGAAGAGTGTGCGTCCTATGGCAATATTGAACATGGGGTAGTCTGTGTCTCAGTAACAACCAAAATAATTATAATAAATACTAAAAGTAAGGGAAAATCTCCATGTATCTGTTCTCCCTACTCAGCAATAATAACCTTTGAAGATCTTATCTGGCAGGGACTGTGCATCACACACTCACAGTGCTGGTTTGGTTAGAATGGCCTTTTTTGGTAGATAGCTGGGTTTATTGGTTTTGTTTTGTTTTGTTTTTTGTTTTCCTACAGCTGGTGTTTTGATATTCTTAACACACTGAAATATGTCAGCCAGGTGAAATAATGAGCATGACTTGTAGCTTGTGTGTTAGCCTTCCTTTTATTGCTGGGTAATTTCATATTTAATATGTAGTTTCCCCAACAGTTTTAATGTACACTGTGTGATATGTCCACAGATTTCCATGGGACAGATGTTACAAGATTTTGGGAAATTTCTGGGGATGTTCCTTCTTGTTCTGTTCTCCTTCACAATTGGACTGACACAACTCTATGACAAGGGCTACACCCCCAAAGAGCAGAAGGACTGTGTTGGCATCTTCTGTGAACAACAAAGCAATGACACCTTCCACTCGTGAGTCTCCTCAGGTTTTACCAGATGGACTTCCTGCTCCTAAGTTCTGTATGGGTTAGTCATTAGATGAATGGAGCTCCAGTTGTTCCTTAAAAAATCTTCTTTAAATGTCTGCAAGCTTTAACAAATGTTCATTTTTCATCATCTTTACCTAAAGGATTTTCAGTAGTAGATCCAAGTCATTACATGTTTCTTCTCTATTGAAATATATCTGAACAGAACTCTTGACAAATTTACACTCTTAGCACTTTGGAAAATTCTTTTATCCATCCCATATATTAGAATGTTCTGCATCTCTGCCCCCAAACTATTAAATACCTGTAGCAACTGTTGGTTGCTGGTACAACCCAGAGCATTCATTCATGTTTTCAGCACTTCTTGAGAGGTCACTAGAATTGAGAATCATTCGAACTTAGGGCCAGTACCGCAGTGGGTCATAAGGAATGGTACCGCCACTATAAAGTAGACAGAATACCTGCCCTCAGGTTCTTTTTCCAGTGCTGGGGATCTAAGCCAGGGTTCTGTGTGTGCTTAGCAAGTGCTAACCACCAAAGCTGCATCCCCAATCTTACTCTCCTCATTCTTAATAAAATACAGAGGAGTATGCACTGCACATTTGCTGTGTTCATATGATGTGCCACAATTCTTTAGGTACTTTGTGTGTCCTCTCATTTAAAGACTAAGATTTCTGGGCAGGCCAGGATAAATGGATAAAGGGATGAGCATGTAGGACCATGCTGTCTGATTTGGGGCTTTTGCAATTTAGAATTATCTAAAGGTTGAAGCAAAGAACTGACACAATATAACTAGATACCCCATGGACTGCTGTGTTGAGACTAGAAAGGACGCAAAAAAAAAAATTAACTAGGAATAATATTTTTGAATGTGTTTCCTCATTTAAAATAAGACTTTAGGGTCTGGAAAGATGACTCTGTGGTTAAGAGTACTTACTGTCCTTGCAGAGGACCTGGGTTTGGTTTCCAGCACCCACCTGATGGTCACAACTGTAACTCCAGTTCCAGGGAATCTGGTGCCCTCTTCTGACCTCTGTGGCCTCCTGCATGCATGTGATGCACACACATACACTCATGCACACACACATAAAACAAAAATAACATTTAAAATATGACTGTACGTACTGTGAAAATAAAAATCAAACAATAAAATTATTTTATAATGTATTATACAAGAATTATTAATGGCTCTTATGTATAATTTTATATAAATGCATTATCTCTGTTCTTGCTAATTAATTTCCTTTTTAACCACAATGTTCTTGCCCTTCCAGGTTCATTGGCACCTGCTTTGCTTTGTTCTGGTACATCTTCTCCTTAGCACACGTGGCCATCTTTGTCACAAGGTTTAGCTATGGAGAAGAGCTGCAGTCCTTTGTTGGAGCCGTGATCGTTGGAACTTACAACGTCGTGGTTGTTATTGTGCTTACGAAGCTGCTAGTGGCCATGCTTCACAAAAGCTTTCAGTTGATAGCAGTAAGTGTTCTTTCAAAGACTTATATTCTCTCCAAATCATATGAGATATATGAAATCAAATAACTGAAGATTACATAATTGAGGAATAATATTTTTAAATTAAACACAGATTTTAAAATATAATGTTTAATAATTGC